GCTACGTTACGCATGAGTAAACCTCTTTTGTGAACCACACATGTCACGGGAGTTTCTCTGTCGAACGGGGCAAACCTTACACAGATGTTCCTGTACACAATGCCAGCTACTTGGTTGTGCCTTTCAGCGTATGCTGTTTTGCCGGCGTCTTACACCCTGCCACTATGTGATGGACTGTCTCTGAGGCCTCTATGCAGAATCTGCACCTTGAGTCTTGTCTCAATGAACACATCTCTCTGGCATATCCATCATCATCATCATCATCATCATCATCATCATCATCATCATCATCATCAATATAAATAAACATAAGAGATGGACAACCTTTTAATGGCAGAGAGCTACACTTAATGCTTTTGGGTACTATGCAATGAAGAAAGCTACAAGTGATAGTTCAGTGATGCAAAATTGGTGAGGTTACATTGTGTGCATCATGAACCAGAAGGTTTCTTCAATTTCCCGGGGTTGGGCAGTTAACCACAGGCTTACATTACAGTTTCCATCTATTTCCTATCTCTAAGTTGTGGAAAAATGAAATCTTCTGGTGCAACCAAATTGTCAGGGGTCACAAAAAAAGGAGATCCAGGAGACACAGGATGCCAAATGCTGTCCAACCATGCCTTTGGAATGACTCAGACCACACATACCAGTTGAAAGCATCAGAATGGGCCCTTTGCAGTCACATACAATTTTACCTATATTAAGGCAGGGGCTAGAGAGGCTTTTTGCAATGTCACCTTTTGTTATATAGATTAGAAATGCCAGATCTGTCATTCTATAAATAAGCAAGAGCCGTCCAGTGACTTGGATCCAGATACAATTATATTTATGGAATTAGTCTCAGAATTAGGTAATCAGTTGGAAAGACTAAGTCTACAACAAAAGTTGCCAGCATAAATGTTGTGCACCAGTTATGCCTCTTCCTGGATTGGGAGGCCCTTCAGTCAGTCACTCATGCCCTAGTCATCTCCCATATAGACCATTACAATGTGCTCTACATGGGGCTACCCTTGAAGAGTATCCAGAAGCTACAGTTGGCTCAAAATGCAGCCATGTGGGCAATTTTGGGTGCCCCAAAGATGACACGTTACACCTTTGATGCAGGAGCTGCACTGGGTGCCAATTTGCTTCCGAGTCCAATTCAAGGTGTTGGTTATCACCTTTAAAACCCTACATGGCATGGGACCAGGTTACC